TGATAAAAGCCATTGAAATGCGAGTGAATTGTGGACTCAATTAGACTTAAGTGTGAATTGAATTGCATTTTAATCACTAATTGTTTGCAAAATTGTGGACAAAATGAATGATCAAAGAAGGGATCGAAAGGACAAACACTTGACGAAAATGAGATGCAATGAAGAGTTGAGAGCAAAGTATGTTATCTTTAGAGACAATCAATTGATAAACCGATTAATGAATGCATTTGTTTTGGTGGCGAAGGAAACGTCAGATTCATGTGATTCTCAAGAAATGCACTTCAGATCAAACCGAAGAAGATTTGCAATTATTAAAGGAATCGAAATCATTGGTTGAATTGGTTTTGACGCGAAAACAAAGACTTGAGTTGAATAAAGAGCGGATCAAAGAAGTCGAAGACGAGCCACAAGTGTTGACAGACAAGTGTCACCTTTTATCCAAACTGATCCGAGAGTCTAAAGGAATGGTTGTCTATACCGGCGCTGGAATCAGCACTTCTGCACAAATACCCGACTATAGGGGTCCGAACGGCATATGGACTCAACTCAAGAACGGATCCGATATCGCCCAACACAGGGACCTCGTAATGGCCGGTATGTCTGTCCACTATTGAATGCTTCGGTGACCACTAATTGTTGCTTATATTCAGAGCCGACGTTCACTCATATGGCAATCACTGAACTGAACCGCAAAAGGATTGCCAAACACGTTGTGTCCCAGAACTGCGATGGACTGCATCTGAGAAGTGGTTTACCGCAGAAGCGTTTATCTGAAATCCACGGCAATATGTATTTGGAAGTGTGTGTGAACTGCAAAACACAATACTTAAGAGCTTTTGATGTGACCGAAAAAACTTCGCTCCGAAGACACAAAACTGGCCGTAAATGCCATTTGTGTCACAAAGAGAGCGGAGATCTAATCGACACAATCGTTCATTTCGGCGAAAAGGGAAAACTCTTGTGGCCTTTGAATTGGGATTCGGCCGCAAAGACATCTTCGAAAGCAGATCTCATTCTATGTCTCGGAAGTAGTCTTAAAATTTTGCGCAAATATCAGTGTTTATGGCCGAAGAGAACTCAGATTGCAATCGTTAACCTTCAATGGACTCCAAAGGACTCGCAATCTGTGCTTAAAATCAATGGAAAGTGTGATTCAGTGATGAAAGAAGTGATGAAACTATTAAATATTGACGTCAAGACATATGAGAAGTAAGGATTCACTGCATTGGCGGCACATTTATAACTTGTTTTAATTTCCAATCAGATGTTTGGATCCAATTTATTGTTTCGCAACGCCATTGAAACCGGAAGAAGAGGTGACGTGTAATCGTATAAAACTCTTCGATTCGGACCAATCGAAGGACAAGTTATGCGATTCTGTTATGTCGAGTCCGTCCTGGTTTGGCAAAGGCATCAAACGTAAGAAGTGATGCACTCCTTCACCACACATACACTACACCACAAATCATTATTTATTTATAATATGTGTTATTTTCTAAATCATGATTCAATTCATTATTAATTTATTACTGAATTAACAATTTTGTGGTTTAACTGTAATTAAAAAGTTTCCAAACATTTAAAATCATGTTTTATTTTGTAATATTGATTCAAATATACAGTATATCCCGATTATAAGAAAAGGTGATATATGATTATTGCATTTTTGTACATTGTGTATTTTTATTACCCTCCACCCTCCATACCTACCCCTACGATAAAATAGTGCCATCAGATTAAACGCTTAAACAGAGTAAAAACTGGGCACTTGAATGACTCTGACTCAGAGTCTCTGAGTCATTCAGAATGAGAATGCCATCATTAGACACTATTATTAAGATTGGGTCTATTAACTTAAAGGCAGGATATACGTAATAGGAGTATATATAGTAGATAAAAACAACATAAACACCATATGATAGCATTGCTTGTATTAAAGCTTGGTATCACGTGAGATGGTATTGTCTCCATCTACATCCATCTATGTATATGTGCTTGTTGTTTTTTATCTACTATATATACTCCTATTATATCCTGCCTTTAAGTAATATAGATTGGGTCCTATAAAAGTGAAAAGTGTAAAAAAGTTGTGAGTCTTGTAAATGTGTACATTCAGTACATTCAGTGTTCACCAAACAGTGGGAGAGAGTGTCCGACGTTAGAGTGTTTGGAGCCCTCTATTGGGAGTTGTGGTGAATATCGGCGCCAAAGAGTGTGGCCTTCAGTTTCAGCAATCATTTGATGGCAATAATGGCCGACAAACACAACGCTTCCGATAAATGGGATTCAATTAGTGAACAATTGTATGTATTGTCCATACGTTGGGAACCAATTAACTAATGTCTTGTTGTGTCCAAAGTGTGAAACAGTGCCGAAGTGTTGGCGATAGAGAGAAGTTGAGACAATTGGTGTACGACTTGTGTGAGCGCGTCATTACCGGTCATCAGAAGCCCGATCTCGTGGTCTCAGCCCTTCTCGAAGTGATTGTAAGCCATTCTCAACGCATACTCACTATAACCCCTCTCTTCGGCTCACATTCACACTCTTCTCCTCCCATAGGCTCTCAATTCAGACATAATTAATATATTGAGTGATGTATTGTTATTGTTTGGTAAGTGTTTGGATCAAATGAGATGATCACCTGATTTACAAAATACATTAATGAATGAATGGACGGCACAGATGTGCTCTGCGCTCATATCAGGATCAATGTGAGTCCACTAATCACTTGTACCACTAAAGCACACAATCAATTGTAATTGTCTTCACATTCACAGGCATTCTAAAGGTCTAAATGTCATGAAATGTTGTGTCCATTGTTTGTAATTAAACCGAAAAACGAAACCGAACTCCCGATGAGTTGACTAAACCGATGGTCTCTATCACGAAACCGATCAGTGATCACAACAATCGATATTAACATCACTTTTCAATATAAGTGAAAATGTCGTGAAGAAGTGACACATGTTTTGCTGTTTCGAAATCTATTCAATAAATTAAATGCTGTATAAAAAGAGCCTCAAAAGTGATCTCTCTATCAAAACCGACGGTTAAATCAATGGTTACTCGCTTTAAGTTTAATAATTTTCTCATTATTTTGATTATCTTTCATATGAATCAATGCGACAGTAATTATATAATAATACATAGAAATAAGCCGTAAAAGCATATAAAAAGATATGATTAGAAGCATTAGTCCTGATATGGCGCTCAAGACGTCGAGACGTCTCAATTCATCCGTAAACCAAATGCTTCAATGCCTTCACATTCTTTGTTATAGATGCCGAAACACAGTCTTCAGACAGAGACAACACTCGCGACCTATTCCTCCAACTTCTCTCCGCCACCAATAATGTAATATTCAATACACGTTTGATATTGAAATCCAATGTCTTAAGCATTTACTTGTCATTCACTTATAGAAAGCCATATCTGAATGGGTTCTTAAGGAAAGGCTCGATTACGAGACGACAGGCGACGCGAAGATCATCCCCAATAAGAAGTTGGCCTCAACTAAATTCATTAAACTTAAGACCAGATTATTGTAAGTATTTGTACTTTTGATGATAATTAATAGAAGTATCAATTAATTAAATGCATATTTGTATTCATACACAGTTATAAACAACAGAAATTTAATTTATGTCGTGAAGAGAGCGAAGGCTATGGAAAATTAATCGTTGAGTTGTGTCAAAGCGGACCTTTTGATCACAATTATATGCTTGAAGTGATCAAATCCTTGATTGGTTTGTATTTTGAGTTTTGTTTTGTAATTGTATTATTAATTAAACATTTATATAAAGGTTGCTTTAATTTGGATCCGAATCGTGTATTGGATATTATTTTGGAGTGCTTTGAATACCGAATAGATCTCCACAACCATTACATACCATTAATTCGAGATTTTCTGCCAAATTCTACGACTTTAACGCAAATCCTAGCGTTTAAATTCAGTTTCTATCAGGTATTGAGTCATCTAAATGTGTAAATGATTGAATAATAATGCTTACAATTATATATTTATAACAGAATGAAACGGCGGCCGAAACTCCCGAGACATTGTACGAAGTGGTGGCCCTCGCACTACACCATAAACTCATTGAACTCAACCAGTTATACGATTTTGTATGTCTAAAGAATCTTCAGTTTATTGTTTTGATTATACATTTATTTTGGTTTTGTTTTCATTGAACAGTTGTTTCCAATAGACAGCAAAATATTAGATAATTATAAAAGCGAATTATCCGAAGCGAAGACATTCGCGAAGAAAAGCAATGCTATTCTCACTTCAGATAAACAAACGGAAGAACAGCACAACTTTGAAGAAGAGAAACAAAAGCAGTTTCTAAGTAATCAAAAGTTAGGCCTCATTTTGGCGTTACTTAAAGTGGGCGATTGGGAGAACGCCAAACAACTCATTTATAAACTCCCCGAATATTATGCCGTCTCTTTCGAGAGTATTGCCAAACAATTGTGTGATTTAATACACTTTTCTATCGATAAGATTTACAAACAGTGAGTTATTTTTGCACATTTTTAAGTGAATTATTATTACATTAATTATTTGCGTTAACAGACACTCAGGTTTGCCGACAATCATCGCCTCTAAAATCAAAGCCTATAAGTGTGCGAAACAACCACTTCTTAAACAAATGGAGAGTATTTCTGATTTAAAAAGCGTTGCGTTTCCAATGATTGTGGCAATTGGTCCGCATTTATTCAAAGACACACTACTAATCGCCAAAATCATTCGCATTTGTCGCACACTATTGTCTAAATCGTCGAACGATAATAATTTTAAGCATGAAATCGCGACGATTCTGGACGAAGCCGTCCTCCCGGCCATGTCTTTGGTTGAGAGCAATTGCGCGCTCTCTGAAGAACTATGGCTTCTGTTGAAATCATTTCCATATCAGCAGAGATACAAACTTTATACCAATTGGAAGGCCGAGCCGTCAAACACTTTGATGATTAAGACCAGAGCTGTTACTCTAAAAAGAATTAAATACATTATGAAGAGATTGAGTAAAGAAAACGTTAAGCTCTCGGGTCGACAGATCGGCAAACTAAGTCATTCTAACCCATCATTTCTTTTCCAACATGTTAGTTATCTCTCGTTAACAATCCATTTCTTACTAATTCTTGTTTTATTTAATAGATATTATCGCAAATCCAATCGTACGACAATCTGATCGGCCCAGTGGTCGACTCACTAAAGTATTTGACAACCATTTCATACGATGTGCTATCGTTTTGTGTGATCGAAGCTCTGGCCAATCCGGCCAAAGAGCAGACTAAGCACGAGGGCGCCACTATTGCCCCGTGGCTGCTAAGTCTGGCCAACTTTTGCGGTTCAGTGGTTAAGAAATACCCGATCGAATTGCCCGGACTCTTGCAGTTCGTCGCCAATCAACTCAAGTCAGAGAAGTGTTTGGATTTACTTATCCTCAAAGAAATTGTACAGAAAATGGCCGGAATTGAGGCCTCGGAAGAGATGACAAACGAACAGTTGGGAGCCCTGAGTGGCGGCGAACTGTTGAGAGCAGAGGGCGGGTATTTCACTCAAGTCAGGAACACCAAGAAGTCTACCTCTAGACTAAAGGACGCCTTACTTGACAACAATCTGGCGATGCCTTTGTGTATACTTATAGCACAACAACGCAACTGTATTTTATTTCACGAACAATCGCACATCAAACTCGTCGGCAAACTTTACGATCAGGTATTTAATGCGTTAATTTGGTGTCCATTTGAGCCATTGTTATGCTCTACTATTGCATTAGTGTCAGGAGACTCTCGTCCAATACGGAAGCTTTTTGGCCAATACCCTAAACATCGAGGACTACATCAATAATCTTCCGCCGCTCGAAAAATTGATCTCCGATTACAGCCTAAGCGCTGACATTACCTTCTTTTTGGTCCGACCGATGATTATTCATTACATTAATGTATGGCTTGTTTTCAGTCATATTTACGAAACTATAACTGAATATATTTTATATTTAGAAAAATTTTGATGAACTCAAGAAAAGCGAGAAAAGTTCGTCGAACAGCAAACTAGTCGCCCAATACATTGAAGCCTCAGATGCTGTCACTACACCTCTCGTCAAGTCTATAGTTCCCGCTTATTCTCCAAAGTTTTGGGACGATTTAAGGTATTATTTATCCACTTTTGTGTTTAAAAATGAGATTTAATATTAAATGATTTGTTTGGTTATAGTCCGCGCTTTTTTGTCACGTTCTGGACGTTGACGATGTACGACCTACAGGTGCCCACACAGAGCTATGAGCGAGAGCTCAAACGTTTCAAAGACCAGATCCAAAGCGCCGAAGAAAACAAAGATTTGGCGCCAAATAAGAAGAAGAAGGAAAAAGAGAGATGTCTTTCAATGATGGAGAGATTGGCCGACGAAGACTCGCGACAACAGGAACACAACAAACGAGTGTTGGCTCGACTCCAGAAGGAGAAAGACCAGTGGTTTCAGTCAAAAGTGGCCAAAATGGAAATGACTACTCAATTCCTACAGCACTGTCTCTTTCCTCGGTGTAAATTTGCCGCGTCTGACGCCCTCTTCTGCGCCAAATTTGTCCATTTATTGCATTGTTTGCAAACTCCCAACTTTTCTACTCTTATTTGTTACGATAGGGTGCGTTTGATTTTCTATCATTTTGTTTGTTATAAGTATTTGTATTGATTTTGAATACATTTCTCGTATAGATTTTTGGCGATATTTCATATACGATGTGTTCGTGTACTGAGAATGAGGCCAACCATTACGGACGCTTCCTTTGCTCACTACTCGAGACTGTAATGAATTGGCATAAAAACAAAGATGTGTTTAATAATGTATGTTATAATTCACTATACGTTTAAGTTTGAAATAATAAAATGTTTATCCGATGCGAAGGAATGCGCGAAATATCCGGGATTTGTGACCAAATTCTGTGAGAAAGATCCGGTTCACGTGGACTTTGAGAACTATCGTCATGTGTGTCATAAATGGCACTATAGGCTAACCAAAGCCTTCATATTATGTCTGGATTCTGCGGATTACATACAGATCAGGAATTCGCTCATTATATTGACCAAAGTATTGCCACAGTTTCCAGTGATGATTAGTTTCGCTCAGGCTATTGAACGCCGCGTCGATAACATCCGCAACGAAGAGAAAGAGAAACGACCCGATCTCTACGCTTTGGCCACTGGGTATGCATTGCTTTATCATTATTTTAGCCATATTTTGCTGACATTTCTCTATTCATAGATATTCGGGTCAATTGAAGGCTCGAAAGTCTAATTTTATACCCGAATCCGAGTTTCATATCAAAGAGAATAAGAATAAAGGCGTTCAACAAACGAATGCTCAAAACAGCGCTCAAAAAGTGGAAATGAATAACAATGCGGTTAAAAAGGAAGTGAAAACTGAAGCCATTGTTAATAACGACGATAAGAATGCTTCAAAGTCGAAGAACGGCATCGACTCGAGCGACAAGAAAAAGGAGATTAAGAAGGATTCAAAAAGTGAGACAAAGTTGAGGAAAATCAACTCAAGTGAAGAGAAAATGAATAACAGTATAGAAAAGAATAACCGAA